TACAGTGGACCCCCGGTTAACGAACTTTTTTCATTCCAGTAGTATGTTCAGGTGCCAGTACTGACCGAATTTTTTCCCATAAGGAATATTGTGAAGTAGATTAGTCCATTTCAGACCCCCAAACATACACGTACAAACGCACTTACATAAATACACTTACATAATTGGTCGCATTTGGAGGTGATCGTTAAGCGGGGGTCCACTGTACTGGACGTTGTTCTCGACTTTGATTTGGCATAGGAGAAGAAATACTTTGGGTTTCTTTCGATTTCATTTATGGCTTTTAGTTCTTCGCGCGATTCCTGACTCCTATAAGATTCCTTTAGCTTGAGTTCGATGCTTGCTATTTCTCTGACCAGTGTCTCCCTACGCATTTCAGATACATTGACCTATTTTAGCCGCTCTATTATTCTTTTCCGTCGCCTGTAAAGGGAGCACCTGTCTCTTTCTATTTTACATCTACTCCTCCTTTTTCTTAGAGGAATAAGCCTTGTGCATACATCGAGTGCCACCAAGTTAATCTGTTCTAGGCATAAGTTGAGGTCTGTGTTGCTTAGTATATCTTCCCAGCTTATATTGGTTAGGACTTGGTTTACTTGGTCCCACTTTATGTTTTTGTTATTGAAGTTGAATTTGGTGAATGCTCCCTCGTGACTAGTCTCATTATGTCGGTCTGGGGCTCCACGCATACATGTCTGAACCTCAATTATGTTGTGATCTGAGTATATTGTTTTTGATATGGTGACATTTCTTATCAGATCATCATTGTTAGTGAAGATGAGGTCTAGTGTATTCTCCAGTCTAGTAGGCTCTATTATTTGCTGGTTTAAATTGAATTTTGTGCAGAGATTTAAAAGCTCGTGTGAGTGTGAGTTTTCATCAGAGCTGCCTCCTGGTGTTATTACTGCAACAATATTATTTGCTATATTCCTCCATTTTAGGTGCCTTAAGTTGAAGTCCCCCAGGAGCAAGATGTTGGGTGCAGGAGCTGGAAGATTTTCTAGACAGTGGTCAATTTTTAACAGCTGTTCCTGGAATTGCTGGGATGTTGCATCCGGAGGCTTGTAGACTACCACAATGACTAGGTTTTGGTTCTCGACCTTTACTGCTAAAACTTCCACTACATCATTTGAGGCCTTTAGCAGTTCTGTGCAAACAAATGACTCTGCAATGTACAGGCCAACCCTTCCCTTTTGCCTGTTCACTCTGTCACATCTGTATAGGTTGTAACCTGGGATCCATATTTCGTTGTCCAAGTGATCCTTTATGTGGGTCTCAGTGAAAGCCGCGAACATTGCCTTTGCCTCTGCAAGCAGTCCACGGATGAAAGGTATTTTGTTGTTTGTTGCTGGCTTTAGACCCTGTATATTTGCAAAGAAGAATGTCATCGGACTGGTGGTATTGTTGGTACTGGTGGGGGGATTTTTTTTCTGGCATTAGTATCTGTATCTGTTGGTTTGGAGTGGAGGCCATCGACTGTGGTTCCACTCCAGGAATGACTGGATTTGGTGTACGATTTCTGCCATTTCCTGCCAGTTTTTTTTTTCCTTCCTGGCACTAAAAAACCTCTCCCTCTTGAGTGGCTGTGGCTACCCAGGTTTTCCCATGGCCTGGATGTTTTGTATCTTTTTGTCCCCTTTAGATGGTGTGCCTGGCAATTTAAGTTATAGCACAGTCTTTCCTGTACTGAAGAGGTACACATTTCAGGGTGAAAAAGCTTACAGGAAGGGAGTTTGCATTTTCCTGTTGTCATATGGGCATGGCATTTTCTAGGGTGGTCATAGTTGCACGTCCCGTCTGTTTTTCCAGATTTCCCATGTCTGCAGATACCAAGTATGTGCACAGGCTTGGTTTCCGTTTGCCTTGGGTTTCTGTGACTGTATTCCCTGTTGGTGCATGTTTCCCTGTCTTATTCCTAAAATGCTGGGAGCAAGGGGCTAGTAACCCCTTCTCCTGTAGAAATTACTAAATTTAAAAAGAGAGACTTTTGTTTTTCTTTTTGGGCCACCCTGCCTCGGTGGGATATGGCCGGTTTGTTGAAAGGAGATATATAAAATATAGAATAACTTTACAACACTTGAAATTTGAAAAGTTTCCAGACATAATGGAGAGATGCAGAGCTCACAGAGGATGTAAACAAACATTGGTGCATGGAGACCATATTAGCAAATGGGGGGGGGGGGGATATAACAAGTTTTGGTCATAATTTGAAATGTCTGTATTAGCGAAACGCCGTAAAGCAGGGCCTTCCTGTGTGTGCGTTTGTAGCCAGCCGTCTCTCACCTAAGTAATTACCCTACCCCCAAAACAAACCATCACTTATTTAATAGCTATCTTACCAAAAGTGTACATACATCACAATTCAAATTAATAAACTGGCCACCGCCCACTGAGGCAGGGTGACCCGAAAAAGAAGAATCACTTTCAGCATCATTCATTGTATTGCCAGATATACTGTTCAGATGCCTTCAAACCTGCAAATATCCCCACCCCTCTTTCAGAGTACAGACAGTGTACTTTTCACCTCCAGGACTCTAAGTCTGGCTAACCAGTTTCCCTGAATCCCCTCACAAAAGTTACCTTGCTCATACACCAACAGCTCGTCAAGTACCAAAAACCATTTGCCTCCACTCACTCGTATTTAACATGCTCACAAATGCCCGCTGGATGTCCAAGCCCCTCACACACAAAACCTTTGCCCCTTCAATCCAACCTTTCTTAGGGTGACTCCTACCCCACTTTCCCTCCACTGCAGATTTATACACCCTCCAAGTTACCCTATTTTGCTCCATCCTCTCTAAATCTACAAAACCACCTCAACAACCCATCCTCAGCCCTCTGAATACTTTTAATAACTCAGTGCCCTGGCCAATGTATGGAAGCCCTGCCTCCCTTTCTTCATCAACATTTAACAGCTCCTCAAAATATTCCTGTCACCTCTCTAATACCTCCAATGACCCCACCTAATAATTCCCATTTGTCTCTAGCTGTCTCAGTGTATATGGTGGCAGCCTTATTTATGGCACATGACAATTTTCAACTGTCTTTTAAACATGAGGGCAGGTGCAATGTCTGGAAAAGATTCTATACAGTACAAGACCATATCAGTAGTTCTCTGCATGCAATAAAAAAAATGGCCTTGTAAACTAACCAAGCCTCAGGCTTGAACTAAAGCCCTGCACAACATATGATAACCTAGCACTGTAATATTCATCATTTCCTACTAAAGAACATGATTTAAATAATAAGCCTTCACTTATTCTCTTCACTAATATGGATGCATAAAATCTTCTATTATATTATTATTATTTTTTATTATCACACTGGCCGATTCCCACCAAGGCAGGGTGGCCCGAAAAAGAAAAACTTTCACCATCATTCACTCCATCACTGTCTTGCCAGAAGGGTGCTTTACACTACAGTTTTTAAACTGCAACATTAACACCCCTCCTTCAGAGTGCAGGCACTGTACTTCCCATCTCCAGGACTCAAGTCCGGCCTGCCGGTTTCCCTGAATCCCTTCATAAATGTTACTTTGCTCACACTCCAACAGCACGTCAAGTATTAAAAACCATTTGTCTCCATTCACTCCTATCAAACACGCTCACGCATGCCTGCTGGAAGTCCAAGCCCCTCGCACACAAAACCTCCTTTACCCCCTCCCTCCAACCCTTCCTAGGCCGACCCCTACCCCGCCTTCCTTCCACTACAGACTGATACACTCTTGAAGTCATTCTGTTTCGCTCCATTCTCTCTACATGTCCGAACCACCTCAACAACCCTTCCTCAGCCCTCTGGACAACAGTTTTGGTAATCCCGCACCTCCTCCTAACTTCCAAACTACGAATTCTCTGCATTATATTCACACCACACATTGCCCTCAGACATGACATCTCCACTGCCTCCAGCCTTCTCCTCGCTGCAACATTCATCACCCACGCTTCACACCCATATAAGAGCGTTGGTAAAACTATACTCTCATACATTCCCCTCTTTGCCTCCAAGGACAAAGTTCTTTGTCTCCACAGGACTCCTAAGTGCACCACTCACTCTTTTTCCCTCATCAATTCTATGATTCACCTCATCTTTCATAGACCCATCCGCTGACACGTCCACTCCCAAATATCTGAATACGTTCACCTCCTCCATACTCTCTCCCTCCAATCTGATATTCAATCTTTCATCACCTAATCTTTTGTTATCCTCATAACCTTACTCTTTCCTGTATTCACCTTTAATTTTCTTCTTTTGCACACCCTACCAAATTCATCCACCAATCTCTGCAACTTCTCTTCAGAATCTCCCAAGAGCACAGTGTCATCAGCAAAGAGCAGCTGTGACAACTCCCACTTTGTGTGTGATTCTTTATCTTTTAACTCCACGCCTCTTGCCAAGACCCTCGCATTTACTTCTCTTACAACCCCATCTATAAATATATTAAACAACCACGGTGACATCACACATCCTTGTCTAAGGCCTACCTTTACTGGGAAAAAATTTCCCTCTTTCCTACATACTCTAACTTGAGCCTCACTATTCTCGTAAAAACTCTTCACTGCTTTCAGTAACCTACCTCCTACACCATACACTTGCAACATCTGCCACATTGCCCCCCTATCCACCCTGTCATACGCCTTTTCCAAATCCATAAATGCCACAAAGACCTCTTTAGCCTTATCTAAATACTGTTCACTTATATGTTTCACTGTAAACACCTGGTCCACACACCCCCTACCTTTCCTAAAGCCTCCTTGTTCATCTGCTATCCTATTCTCCGTCTTACTCTTAATTCTTTCAATTATAACTCTACCATACACCTTACCAGGTACACTCAACAGACTTATCCCCCTATAATTTTTGCACTCTCTTTTATCCCCTTTGCCTTTATACAAAGGAACTATGCATGCTCTCTGCCAATCCCTAGGTACCTTACCCTCTTCCATACATTTATTAAATAATTGCACCAACTTCTAAATGACAGTAAACCAGAAGTGACTTACTTTCTCTGCTCTTTCATCATCCACTATGTTGACATTTATGAGTGTATCTTCCTCTCCATCCAACACTTTACTATCCTTCAGGGTTAAGATAGTTGTTTCTCCAGTATCAAATCTGAAAACACCAAGTTTTCCAAGATAAAACTATTATTTCTAACTTATTTTACAATCATTTATTGCATCAATCTTTTTTTAAAACTGCCACACAAACTTTTCTAGTTATCCCTAACTCACTTTCATGATGAAACTCTCTAACATTTTCATATCCTTCCAAAAATCCTACCTGTTGGATACTCTGTTACATGTTATAGTTTAGTAATGTTTATTACCATTTTCTCTGCAATGAAGCACTCTATCTTAAACTATATATGTATGTATAATGTTTATGTATCATACACGTTTGTAAGCAGTAAAAGAGATGTATCTTCTGATACACAAGACTGATATAAGAATCACTCATTTATTGATCATTTTCTGCTTGGTACTGCTCTCTTCTCAGAGGTATCCTGTCTAGCTGAAAATGGCCTTTGAGGAAAAAATACTTAAATTTAATTTAGTGATCGTTAAAAGTCTCTTCATTTTAAGAGGAGAGGAGTTACTAAAGGTATTGTCCACATGCCTGAGGAAGGGTTCATGAGGTGGTTAGGACATTTAGAGAGCATGGATCAAAATGGGATGATTTGGAGGGTGTATGAATCTGTTGTGGAGGAAAGGTGGGGTAGGGATCATCCTAGGAAAGATTGGAGGGAGGGGGTAAAGGAGGTTTTGTATGCGAGAGGCTTAGATATCCCACAGGTATGTGTAAGCATGTTAGGAGTGGAGGCAAGTGGTTTTTATGACTTCATGTGCTGGTGGAGTGTGAACAACATAACATTTATGAAGGGATTCAGGGTAACCAGTTAGCCAGACCCGAGTCCTGTAGGTGGAAATTACAATGCCTGTACTCTGACAAGGAGGGGTGGGGATATTGTAGTTTGAGGAGGCACTCAAGCTATAATGTTGGCACACTTCTGGGAAAACAGTGAAGACATGAGTGATAGTGAAAGTGTTTCCTTTTTACTGGGTCACCCTCCATTGGTGGAAGATGACCAGTGTGTTAAAAAAAAATAAAAGTCTCTCTCATCTCAGTTCAATGTAGAATTTTTAAATTATCGTACAAAAGTCTAGGAAAATTTACATACACAGTGGACCCTCCCTTTTTGATGGGCTCTGTTTTCGCTCATTTCCGTTATCGCTGATTTTTTCTGTAAAATTACTGGCTCCGTTTTTGTTGCTTTCCTCCATTCTCGTTGGTGGTACGGTAAAAATATTAGTTCCGTTGCTTTCCTCCGTTCTCGTCGGTTGTACTGTACATGTCCGAGTGTGCCGCATGTACAACCTCCCACACATGCATTCTGAGGAGGCAGTGTCGCTTTGTTTATGGGCAAGTGAACATTATCCTGCGAGGCCATAGGGAACATTTCGTAATAATTCATTGTTTTTTGCACTTGTTTATTCTGTGTGACTGCTAAGTAAGCCACCATGGACCCAAAGAGCTGCTAGTGCCAGTCTGTTGATAAAGAATGTGAGAAACACAATAGAATTCAAGAAAAAACTTGTAGCAAGGCACTACCAAAGTGGATGAGGAAGAGAGAGGGGAGAATGTGCCTTCTTCAGTGATTGAGTGATTCTACGATATGTACAATACTAAAGCAGCAGAAGTGGATAAAGGCTATAGCGCTAGCCAGCGATAAAGTGTAGCATTAACAGTGTAGCAAGTAAGTTAAGCGATTAAGCGAGAGAAAAAGGACGACATGAAACTGACTCCTCCAATGTTACTGGAGGTATACAGGTCCACTGACAAACATACGCCGCCCTGCCTATCTTCCACCACCCTAAACCAATGCCAGCATCTCCAAGGTACAGGAAGTGTAAATATTTCTTATTTATAAATTACGTAGCTTGTTTGTCTGAATAGCGTTCGTGTCTTTTGCTGCGGCCTCCACCACCACTAATATACATGTACACAGCTTTTCTCAGTGGCCCTTATAAACCCAACACCACCACCACCACTTACTCCTCACATACGTAATGACTTATTCTATTCATTCTAGAGTATATATCATGCTTCTAAGTTATTAATATTGTTTATGTCATATTAGATGAATTGTGATAGATAAATTAGCCATGGAATATAGTTCTCTATAAAATGTATTTTTTGTTTATACTTTTGGATGTCTGAAACGAATTAACTGGATTTACATAATTTCTTATGGAGAAAATGGTTTTAGTTTTAGTCAATTTCACATTTCGCTGGAGACTGGAACAAATTAAAGACAAAATGGGAGGGTCCACTGTACTAGTCTATCAGAACACATTTTTTCAGAGATTCCCTTTATATAAATAAAAAATAAAAGGTTGTAATATAATTTTATGGTTATTTAATATATTTATAGATAGGGTTGTAAAAGAAGTAACTGCTAGGGTGTTAGGGAGGGATTGGATTAAATTATGGGGGGAAACAAATAAAAAATGGGAGTTGACACAGTTACTTTTTGCTGATGATACTGTGCTTTTGGAAGATTCTAAAGAAAAGTTATAAAGGTTAGTGGACGAGTGTGGGACAGTGTGTAAAGGTAGAAAGTTGAAAGCAAACATAGATAAGAGAAAGGTGATGAGTGTATCAAACGATTTAGATAAAGAAAAATTGGATATCACATTGGAGAGAAGGAGTATGGAAAAAATGAATGTTTTCAGATATTTGGGAGTTGACTTGTCAGCAGATGGGCTTATGAAGGATGAGGTTAACCACAGAATTGATGAAGGAAAAAAGGCGAGTGGTGCATTGAGGTATATGTGGAGACAAAAAACGTTATCTACAGAGGCAAAGAAGGGAATGTGTGAAAGTACGTATAGTGGTACTAACACTTATATGGGTGTGAAGCTTGGGTTGTAAATGCTGCAGCGAGGAGGCGGTTGGAAGTGGTGGAGATGTCCTGTCTAAGGGCAATGTGTGGTGTAAATATTATGCAGAGAATTCGGTGTGGAAATTAGGAGAAGGTGTGGAGTTAATAAAAGTATTAGTCAGAGGGATGAGGAGGGGTTGTTGAGGTGGTTTGGTCATTTAGAGAGAATAGATCAAAGTAGAATGACATGGAGAGCATATAAATCTGTAGGGAAAGGAAGGCAGGGTAGGGGTTGTCCTCAAAAAGGATGGAGGAAGAGGGTAAAGGAGGTTTTGTGGGCAAAGGGCTTGGATTTCCAGCAAGCATGCGTGAGCATGCTAGATAGGAGTGAATGGAGACGAATGGCTTTTGGGACCTGATGAGCTGTTGGAGTGTGAGCAAGGTAATATTTTGTGAAGGGATTCAGGGAAACCGGTTAGCCGGACGCGAGTCCTGGAAATGGGAAGTACAGTGCTTGCACTTGAAAGGAGGGGTTTGGGATATTGGGAGTTTGGAGTGACTATCTAAACTGTTGTATCTGGGCACCTCTGCAAAGACAGTGATTATATATGAGTGATGGTGAAAGTGTTGAATGACAATGAAAGTTTCTTTCTTTCTTTTGAGTCACCCTGCCTCAGTGGGAAACAGTCGACGTGTTAAAAATAAAAATATCTGTGGAAGCTCCATCTCAAATTTAAATTCTTTATTTGCACATGATACACAAACTGTACAAAAATGGATGACACTTAATATTGCACACAGTAAGCTCCCGGTTATGCAGAGCATTTTGGGCAAGCTTATACCTACCTAACTTAAGACTAAAAAGACATTGAAGATTTTACATATACTGCAAGTTAAGAAAGGCCCTGTGAAAGTGTACATATCACTTATGCTTGCCTAGACAAGAAATCTAGACACACTGCAAGCAAGATAGATTACACAAACATTAAGCACAGTACAATTTACTATTTGTAATTTCCTGAGGGGTTTGCTGTAGATAAGCTCAAAATTGTCAGTGAAAACTTAAATATGCATGCATGCATGTATGAGTCAATGTTACCATGCATTTATGTATGTACATACATTTATGCTTACTTATTTTGTGGTCCCATCCCCCTGAAACTAACATGTATTACTGAAATTTTATTGTGCCCACATAGGGTAACTGACCTTGAAAAATTATGCTGCACCTGAAGCCCTGACAAATCATTGTAGGAGTATTTTTTTACTTTCTGCTCTATCATCTCTTGCTCCACCAAATCACCAATGCCAAACTGCGCATCTAACTCCTCCAACATCTTGCTCTGCGGCACAAACAAAGAAACATTTGACTATATACTCACATTGTTCTTACCACATCCTATATACATATATAAGGTAACATGGTAACAAGTGGTTGCAGTTTGGGCATTTTTAAATGTGATTTTTATTACACTTTTGTACTAATTATCTTGCATTACTCACAACTTACTCCACTGTTCCACTATTAAGTGGTTTAACTAGTTCAAATTATAGTATTTTTATTATAATTATAGGAAGTGCTAAACCTGTAGAGGTTATACAGTGAGTAGGGAATGAGAAATAATTGAGCTTGATCCAAGGAAGGGTAGCTCCAATTCCTTGAGTCAAGAGACTTTCACAAGCTTAAGGGATTCAATGTTACAGCGTGTGCTGCTAAAAAATACACCTCTCTATGAATTTCAGCATAAGAAATTAATTTGCTTTTTGTCTTCAAAAACCTTAATATCTAAAAAGCAATCAGACCTAAGTTTTAGCTGCCTATCAGCAAGAAATAAGAGTAGTTTCTCAAGTCATAGCTTAAATAAATTTTAGTTTCACAATTTATAACTTATGAAACTCGTACACATCTAACATGGACTAAATTCTTCATATGAATTAGCATTATATGCAATCAAGCACAATTTTCAAGCCTGTACATTTTATTAAACATTAATTAAGGAAGAATTGTAAGGTGGTCACACTTTTGAAAAAATTTAAGTGACAGATTGAAATAACTTATTAGAAATCAGCCAAATCTCAAAGGTAGGGTGATCCGAAGAAGAAAATAGATTTACTATAAATACACCATAGCCATCTTTCCAGAAGGGCACATACATCACAAAAATAATCTTCTGAACCATATCACTACCTGATTTTTTCAAAAAAGTATAGGCACCTTATTTCTAGCCTTCAAAACTAGTCTTGTTAAGCAGTTTCCTTAAATTCCAACACACACACATTACCATGTTCAGTATCCTGTAATGGGAAAAATAAAATGTGGTATTCCATACCTTTTTTTCAGCCAGTTCTCTTTCCTTTGCCTTCTGACGTGACTTCTTTACCCAAGCCAAGGCACTCTCATCATCACTGTCGGATTCACCAAGTGTCTTCACCTTGCGCAACTTTTCCTTGATGCGTCGTTTCTCTCTCTGGGCAGCTATTTTCTCCCTCAGCTTTTCTACCTGCAGTTAGAAGTTATTTGCATTAAATATATTAAGATGTTGCATTTGTAAAAATGAAAGCAGATATTTTTTGGGTGTCCATTAACACACAGTAAAAAAGTTATCTTATAAAACAAAAGATAAAGTGTACTACATACTCACATTTAAATTGGAAATTTTGATGGAAATAATTTATTTAATAAAAGGGGTCCGACTTACTTATAGGCGAGCATACTGCACAGGAAGTTTTTTATATCTTCAAGGCTAGTCCCTGAAATTTGGATGAATAATCTTTACTTTCTCATTAACTTTAATTTGGTAATTGATTAAATGGGATTTTTTTTTATTAAACTGCATAATACAGTAGACTTTAAAAATTAAGGGCAAATTTTTCTGAAATGCAAATGATGCATGTTGCCTTAAACTTCATAGCTAAAAGACAAAAATTTTGTTCATAGCCTGCATTTTTTCACCCTAAAATTATTATCTTCCTGCCTCCCAGGAGACCAGTTGTGGGCAATTATGGAGTGTCTGTGTTTGTATATATGCAAGCCCAAATTTTTAAGTCATTTTATTTGTAGTATATATGATGTCTCTGAAGGTATAAAGATGACAACTGTCCAGAGAGTAAGATAATACCATCACATGAATGAAAACTAAAAGCCTGTAAAATATTTTACATTTACATTTACTGCTTTTCCTTTTATTATTTATTTTTTTGATACGGCTCATGAACATTAAATATCCATACTATAAACCTTATTACAGTACCTATTCACTACATATTTAGCTATTCCTTCTTGTTTATTTCTTAACAGCTTTTACATCTTTAACTTTTCCCCTCAGATACCTTAAAAAATGTGTTAGAATTCTTTCCCGGTAGCCAGAGTGTTGTAAAAGGCAACTAAATTGCCTGGGGTAAGTGACTGGTTACTCCTTTTCCTGCATGTAATAACATGAAAAAAAGCGAGATGTTGAAGTCTGGTTGTTAGATACGTGTGTATAGTATTGCTGTTGACAGTTTATCCACCTAGCAATGTATTATTGATTGTGTGCATTATATGGCATGTGGTTCTAGGGTCTGCCCACAATAGCCTTCCCTCCTTGCCAGCATCATCTTTAAGCAAGAATGAAAGGTCACTACCTTCAATAGAGGGAAGGCATGTCATATGCTCACTGCTCATGTACTGTTGCATCCATGACAGGAAAGCCACCTTCCATCTACATCCATACTCCTATGTGCTATGCAACAATGCATACACTGCCAAATACCAGCACAAGTAAAAATTATTCATACACAATTTTTTTATAAATTAAGGTATGCAATTTTGTATCAAGCCCTTCAAAAGTATAAACAAAGACTGCAAATAAGCATTACCTGTGTCCACTGCACACTTCTGGTATACTCATGATATAACTAAGTGCATAGACATTTGTACAGAAAGAGAAAGGTGAAAAATATATGTTTTTTTCTTTTATGTACCCTTAGTAAATGCACTAAAACAAATTTTATTTTCTAAGTGTACATAATAGTTACAAAATTAGGCAACATTTATTGCATACAATAGAAGCCCTTACAAAATGAAAAGACACAATACCGTGACTGGAACAATACACAAATAACTCGCACTTAAGACTGAAACTTATGACGACGTTTTGGTCCAAGCTGGACCATTAACTAGTCACACAGAGAAGTGATAAGGGACTGGAGGTAGTAATAATGTAGTAGTGGTAGTTAGTAGTAGTAGTGGCAATTAATAGTTACTGATATGTGGGCTCAACATGTGTCCCATCTTGAATCCCACTTTGAAAGGTTCAGAACTTTTCAACTGCCCATAAATCTACTTAATAGTAGTGGGAGTTAGTAGTAGTTAGCAGTAGTAATAATAGTAGTAGTAGTATAGTAGTAGTAGTAGTATAGTAGTAGTAGTATAGTAGTAGTAGTAGTATAGTAGTAGTAGTAGTATAGTAGTAGTAGTAAGTAGTAGTAGTAGTAAGTAGTAGTAGTAGTAGTAAGTAGTAGTAAGTAGTAGTAGTAGTAAGTAGTAGTAGTAGTAAGTAGTAGTAAGTAGTAGTCATAGTAAGTAGCAGTGGCAGTTAGTAGCAGTGGCAGTTAGTAGCAGTGGCAGTTAGTAGCAGTGGCAGTTAGTAGCAGTGGCAGTTAGTAGCAGTGGCAGTTAGTAGCAGTGGTAGTTAGTAGCAGCGGCAGTTAGTAGCAGTGGTAGTTAGTAGCAGTGACAGTTAATAGCAGTGGCAGTTAGTAGCAGTGGCAGTTAGTAGCAGTGGCAGTTAGTAGCAGTGGCAGTTAGTAGCAGTGGCAGTTAGTAGCATTGGCAGTTAGTAGCAGTGGTAGTTAGTAGCAGTGGTAGTTAGTAGTAAGTAGTTATTTAGTAGCAGTAATCTCCATGGGGAAGTGGAACAGAAGTCTTCCTCTGTAAGCCATGCGTGTTGTAAGAGTCGACTAAAATGCCATGAGCAAGGGGCTAGTAATCCCTTCTCCTGTATAAATCACTAAATGTAAAATGTAAATGTATCCTCGGTGGGATACGGCTGGTGTGTTGAAAGAAAGTAGCAGTAATGCAACAGTGATGGAGGTGGCAATAAAAAGGTAGTGGTAGTGAAAAAAAAAGGGGGCACAGAGTGGAGTGTTAGCAAAGAAATATTAATATCAGTAGTAGTATTAATAGTGGAGGTAGTCTAATGAACAAGAGAACAGAGGAGCACTGCAGGAGAGCTAATGTTCCACCAGGGTAAAACAAAATCCCTGCAGGGCAAAACCCCATAGGACAGAACCCACCTAGGCAGAAGATAGGAAAGGTGAAGAGGTAAGAAGAGGAGATAAAGATCAGGTCAAGTCATGAGTGTTCTGAAGTTAGGAGCATGTGATAATGTAGTGAGAATGGAAGGCAAATATTTACAGAGACGAAGCCAAATTCAATTATATTAGACCATAGTGTAATTACTAGTGAGAATCTGGTGCTATTTTTAATTTGTATTTTTATATTATTAGATTAAACCTAGTTGTACTATAGCTCATTTTAGCTCAATACATAGACTATACCAAAGTCATTACATTAGACCTTAGTGCAATTACAAGTGAGAGTCTTGTGCTATTTTTAATTTGTATTTTTATATTATTAGTTTATACCTAGATTATAGATTATAGATTATAAATTACAGGCATGTCTTGCTACTTCTACTTACACTTAGGTCACACTACACATACATGTACACATTTATTTATACACACTCATCTGAGTTTTCTTTGATTTTATCTTAATAGTTCTTGGTCTTATTACTTTTCCTTTTATATCCATGGGGAAGTGGAATAAGAATCTTTCCTCCGTAAGCCATGCGTGTTGTAAAAGTCAACTAAAATGCTGGGAACAATGGGCTAGTAACCCCTTTTCCTGTAAAGATTACTAAAAAGAATAAGAAGAAGAAAATTGTCAAAGTGGGAAGTCTGAATGTGCGTGGATGTTGTGCAAATGATAAGAAAGAGATGATTGTGGATGTTATGAATGAGAAGAAACTGGATGTCCTGGCTTTAAGCGAAACAAAGCTGAAGGGGGTGGGAGAGTTTCAATGGAGAGGAATAAATGGGATTAGGTCAGGGGTTTCAAATAGAGTTAGAGCTAAAGAAGGAGTAGCAATAATGTTGAAGGATAAGCTATGGCAGGAAAAGAGGGACTACAAATGTATAAATTCAAGGTTTATGTGGAGTAAAATAAAGATTGGATGTGAAAAGTGGGTTATAGTAAGCGTGTATGCACCTGGAGAAGAGAGAAGTGTAGAGGAGAGAGAGAGATTCTGGGAAATGTTGAGTGAATGCGTGGGGAGTTTTGAATCAAGTGTGAGAGTAATGGTGGTTGGGGATTTCAATGCTAAAGTGGGTAAAAATGTTATGGAGGGAGTAGTAGGTAAATCTGGGGTGCCAGGGGTAAATGTAAATGGGGAGCCTTTAATTGAGCTATGTGTAGAAAGAAATTTGGTAATAAGTAATACATATTTTATGAAAAAGAGGATAAATAAATATACAAGGTATGATGTAGCACGTAATGAAAGTAGTTTGTTAGATTATGTATTGGTGGATAAAAGGTTGATGGGTAGGCTCCAGGATGTACATGTTTATAGAGGGGCAACTGATATATCGGATCATTATTTAGTTGTAGCTACAGTTAGAGTAAGAGGTAGATGGGAAAAGAGGAAGGTGGAAACAACAAGTAAGAGGGAGGTGAAAGTGTATAAACTAAGGGAGGAAGAAGTTCGGGCAAGATAAAAGCGACTATTGGCAGAAAGGTGGGCTAGTGCAAAGATGAGTAGTGGGGGGGTTGAAGAGGGTTGGAATAGTTTTAAAAATGCAGTATTAGAATGTGGGGCAGAAGTGTGTGGTTGTAGGAGGGTGGGGGCAGGAGGAAAGAGGAGTGATTGGTGGAATGATGAAGTAAAGGGTGTAATAAAAGAGAAAAAGGTAGCTTATGAGAGGTTTTTACAAAGCAGAAGTGTTATAAGAAGAGCAGAGTATATGGAGAGTAAAAGAAAGGTGAAGAGAGTGGTGAGAGAGTGCAAAAGAAGAGCAGATGAAAGAGTGGGAGAGGCACTGTCAAGAAATTTTAATGAAAATAAGAAAAATTTTTGGAGCAAGTTAAACAAGTTAAGAAAGCCAAGGGAAAGTATGGATTTGTCAGTTAAAAACAGAGTAGGGGAGTTAGTAGATGGGGAGAGGGAGGTATTAGGTAGATGGCGAGAATATTTTGAGGAACTTTTAAATGTTGAGGAAGAAAGGGAGGCGGTAATTTCATGCACTGGCCAGGGAGGTATACCATCTTTTAGGAGTGAAGAAGAACAGAATGTAAGTGTGGGGGAGGTACATGAGGCATTACGTAGAATGAAAGGGGGTAAAGCAGCTGGAACTGATGGGATCATGACAGAAATGTTAAAAGCAGGGGGGGATATAGTGTTGGAGTGGTTGGTACTTTTGTTTAATAAATGTATGAAAGAGGGGAAGGTACCTAGGGATT